GTGACTCCGCGTTGCTGGCCGGTTCACTTGCCACGCTGATAACAAACCGTATCGACCCGACTATTAAAGCCCGCTCCCATACGCGACTCATAGTGACTTATGGTATCGTTTTGTAAAACAGTGCATCCCATAATGTTTTGTACTAAAAATAATCACGACAAACAACTAATCAAACAAACAAAACGGACGAAACAGATAGCCTGTACTGCAGGTCGCCACTGTGCAGCGCCCTCTCTCATGAGCATCATAAGCAAACGATGAATCGGATTTTAATCGATGAATCGGATTTTAAAAAAACAAAAGCATTAATTTCCAATCCTTTATTAAAAAACAGAACTGACAGTGCAAATTCACCCTGAAAAAAAATCGAGTGCAAAAAAATGGACTAACAAAACACATACACATGTATGCTTTACATCTGCCAAATAATATATATAGGCTTTTTAAAAATAAAGTGAGCTGCTGTCAGAACAATAAATAATTGATAAAAAATAAAGAAAAATACAAATCAGAAAACTTAACAGGATTTGTTTGAACGTCAGAACTTGTTCTCTACACCACACTAGCACACACTCATAAACTCACACTCACAGATGCACACACTCACAAACTTGTGTTTTGTTTTTGTCAAAGATGTTATAATCTTTAACAAAATGTTTGACATTTTTAACAAGCAAATGCACCTATTATCATATTACCTATAATAGGTAATAATAATAGCAATAATAATAATTATAAGAAGATAATATCTCTAGTCTATCCTAATATTAATTATAAATACAATGTATATAAAATATAAATACAATATTAAATAATATTAAAAAAACAAATACAATGGATTGACCATATCCTATGGTGTGTAAGGTATTTTGCAGCTCATCCTTTCGGCGCGTGCGCGATCTCGGACACACTCGTTCTCTCTCTCTCTCTCGCTCGGCGATTGAGCGACAGTGCTCCGCGCTCAACTCCAATTTTTTTTATACTCAAACATTTCCGCGTCGCGCGATGCAACGAATCGATTATGTAATTCGTTGCCAACTCTTTCAGAAATCGATTTTAATCGATTCGTTGTTGCAGCCCTAGTTCTGAATATCATATAGATTGCAATATATAGGCAAAGACTTTATATACAGAAAGACACTGCACTCTTATGACTATGAATAAGAGAAAGTGCAATGTGTAATATTGCTGAGTAAGTCCTGCCTTCTAAAGAAAAGAGCCAATCGTTGATTTAATAAAGTCATAGCATCACTGCAGCTGCCATTAAAAGCTCCGGTTTCTATAAACAGTCACTACTCTAAGAGCATGCTTAGGACTGCGCATGAGCTTGGTCCAGCCTTTTTTTTTTTTTTTTTCATGATTCAAGTGTTTAGACAGTTGTCAGATTTCATTGGTGATTTCAAATATGAAATTTAATTGTTAGCTTGAACAGTTTTGGAGAATTTAATGTTTCCTCATTCAAAGAGATAGGCCCTGTCCCAAATGGCACACTTCGTATGCACTTTCGGTCTTGTGAACTTGACTTGTCTTAAAGGGACTTTGATAGGGCTGGACAATAATTTAATATCAATATATATCACGATATAATTTTTTTCAATAATGGTGATATGATTTTAAAAAAAATATCCAATATTTCAATATACATTACAGGCATGGGCTACATTTACATGTAACCAAATAATCCATTAGTAATAGGATTGATGGCTCAATCGGACTGAAAAGCCTGCATTTAAACACCTTAAGCGATCCGAGTGGGCTCGATCCGAATGAATTTCGATCGAATTGAGAGGGGTGGTTTATTCCTTTTCTAATCCGACCGAGAGGACATGTAAAACACTTGATCGAATTGAAAACCGAAACTGAAAGGACTGCGCATGTGCAATGACGTTGAAATAGCGTTATGACGTGCGAACAAGCTGTTTTTCCTGTTGAATAAAGTGTCATAAATGAGCGTCCCATCATTCTAAAATTCTAATTTCACTCAGCATCTGTGAAGTGGAGCAGGACAATGTCCCACCAGTCCTTGTTTCAGATTCTCATCCACAGACGACTAGTTTTGGGCGTGTGCGTTTTTTTTTTTTTTTTTTTTACAGTCTATGGCAGGGAGGGGCAATTTTTACTGCATGATAAATATAAGCAGCGGCACAACGGTTCATATGTTCATTGTCTCCAAATTATGACCAGAAATGGATAAATATTACCTAAGTCTGCTGTTTAAAACAAATAAAGAATCAATGTTGGAGAATATTTATGTGCAAACAGCTGGAAACTCTGTATATATATTGGTGCAGTGTGCGCATGTCAAAAAATCTATTCCGATTTGAAGCTTGTGAGTGACAAATGCGCACATCAACCCGATCACTTGTTTAGCGTTCATGTTAACACTACATTCAGATTCATCAATCGGAATGAGTTCAGGGTGTCATCAACACTCAAAATGTCCCTCAGCAACACGTGTTTTTGTTGTTGCTCACTTTTTTTTTCTTCAGCAACTCTGAGCACTTTTCATGACTGAAGCACTTTTTTCAATCTATAAGAATAATATTATCAGCCTATAGTTTAAAGTTAAAGATATTAATATTAATAGGTTGAGAGTCTTATGTTTATTTGACGGTGATTTCACATTTCTTGTTTGTATGAAGGCTAAATACAAATAAAATATTAACAATAATTTATTTGTACCATTTTTATTTCTAGAATATTATATAGTTTTATAGGAGGTTTCAGAGACTTGGCAAATACATTTTTCAGAAGTTTGTAGGTACAGACATTCGTTGTGGGCGTTCTTGGCAGTTTTTCCTGGGGCTTTTATATTGTTCATATCGATATCGGAATTATGTCGTATCGACCGAAATTAAAAAATATATCGTGATATAAAATTTGGCCATATCATCCAGCCCTAGACTTTGATATAAGTTTAGAATGCGTAACAACCATATACATCTGAGGCACAAGAGAGAAAGCGATGATTGTAAAAATCATTAAATACTTGAAGGACTTAAGCTTCCAGTGTGTGACCTTGTCTGATTAATTTAAGTGAAAGATTAGGCCTTAAAGGGGAAATGAAGCAGTCAGTCAAGTTTACATAATTTACAAGATGGATTACCACTATAATCAAAAATTATAAAAGAAACATGACAAATGTTAACATATAAAAGAAAAAAGAAACACCGTTATGTCTGTCGAGCGGCAAGGGCGCCGCCATTGTGCAGTATTATAACTGGTGACGTCACGGGGTTGGTTGGCTCTGTGCTGAGTTCAGTAAAATACAGTGAAAGATGCATGTAAGCTGGTCGATCCAGCGAACAACTAACGTTAGGTACAGTCATTGTTGGCTAACAGCTGTAAGCATGAACTAGCAGCTAATGATAACTTAGTGTTTAGCTAGTGAACTTTATTAGTACCAGACAAAAAGACGACGTCTAACGTTAACAAACTGCACATGGAAACATTGTTCGTGATGTCTGCAATCATATTCCTGTCTCTTGTCAACACCATGGTCAAGATCAGCGTCTTGACAGCAGATGGATCGTGCTATCGTGGCGTAATAATCTGTTTGGTTGGTAAATGTATTACCTGAATGAAATGAAATCGAATGTATCGTCCTGTGGAATCATTCATTCACAGACAGCAGAAGATGTTCAACTAATAAAGATCTTCATCGCTGGCAAACAAATTGATAGATTTGCCGATTTGCTTTCACTAGACTGTACTGTAGGTCCACGGCCACTTCATCCAACGCTCTTGATGTTCTTAAATCTTCCTGTTACAACTCCGAGTCGAGTGTGAATAGAAAGCGCGTAAGTGATTCAGTGCGCGAGGAACTGAACAGATCATTCAAACTGATTCGCGAACCGATTTAGACAGATCTGCCAACTTGTTTGATGAAGTCTTTGAACAGAAACGACAAAAAAAAAAAAAGACTGATTCATTTGTAAATTGAGCATCGCTGTAAAAGATACAGCCCAAATGGCCCAAATCTCGTTATATACAGGGATGCAAACGGCGCACTTTATTTTAATGCAAACATGTTGTTAAATGCGCAGTTTATTCCAAGCGCGCTGTATCTTTTTTATGGGCACGAGCGATGCTCAATTTACAAATGAATCACTCTTTTTTTTGTCGTTTATGTTCAAAGACTTCATCAAACAAGTTGGCAGATCTGTCTAAATCGGTTCGCGAATCAGTTTGAATGATCTGTTCAGTTTCCTCACGCACTGAATCACTTACGCGCTTTCTATTCAGGAAGATTTAAGAACATCAAGAGCGTTGGATGAAGTGGCCGTGGACCTACAGTACAGTCTAGTGAAAGCAAATCGGCAAATCTATCAATTTGTTTGCCAGCGATGAAGATCTTTATTAGTTGAACATCTTCTGCTGTCTGTGAATGAATGATTCCACAGGACGATACATTCGATTTCATTTCATTCAGGTAATACATTTACCAACCAAACAGATTATTACGCCACGATAGCACGATCCATCTGCTGTCAAGACGCTGATCTTGACCATGGTGTTGACAAGAGACAGGAATATGATTGCAGACATCACGAACAATGTTTCCATGTGCAGTTTGTTAACGTTAGACGTCGTCTTTTTGTCTGGTACTAATAAAGTTCACTAGCTAAACACTAAGTTATCATTAGCTGCTAGTTCATGCTTACAGCTGTTAGCCAACAATGACTGTACCTAACGTTAGTTGTTCGCTGGATCGACCAGCTTACATGCATCTTTCACTGTATTTTACTGAACTCAGCACAGAGCCAACCAACCCCGTGACGTCACCAGTTATAATACTGCACAATGGTGGCGCCCTTGCCGCTCGACAGACATAACGGTGTTTCTTTTTTCTTTTATATGTTAACATTTGTCATGTTTCTTTTATAATTTTTGATTATAGTGGTAATCCATCTTGTAAATTATGTAAACTTGACTGACTGCTTCATTTCCCCTTTAAGTCAAGAAGTAGAACTAATGCACACTATGAACCGCAGACTCACGTGAAGAGGATTGTGGTGGCAGCCACTAATGCTGCAGGGTACCACGGCTTCTCCCAGCGCAGGAACTGATCTCCAGCCAGGATGACCTCTCCCCATCCTTGCAGCTGCTCTTCCAGCTGACTGGTCTCCTGAGCCTAGAGAAATGTTTCTAGTCAATATTACTGTTTAAACAATGAGTTCTCTTATATCATGTGACATGGCATTATCGGCCTATCCGGATTGATTTAAAATGGAAGTGTCATAAAGTCTTGGGATGGGCACATCCAGCTGGAATTTCAGGAATGTTAAAATTTATACAAAAACAAAATAGTCATTTATGAGAGATAAATGAAATGGTAAATAAATATATATAAAAACAAAAAAGGAGCACGTGTTTTGGGGGACTGTGAAATGTTCCGTTTAAACCAGCAGGTAAAGTTTAAATGGCCACTTCCTTTCTGTGATATAGTACTTAAAAATAGAAGTTAGTGTACATTTTTTAAAAGGCTAAAGCATAAACTTCAACCCGAGTTCTTGGTGGCTTTACAACTAATCTCAAAACCATTTAGACACGCATGTGGAGAATTTCGTCTCGCTTTTCTCGAGCAAAGCTCCATGCTTTCTAAAGGTAACGTTACAACTTAAAAAATATTCATAAAATATATAATAGGCTATATTAAACATATAAATACAAGATTTGTGTGAGAAAACCATTTAACGTAAGATGCTAACTTAGATAGAGTAACGTTAATCCTTCTTGTTAGCGCTGCATTAGCTTGCTAACATCTTATCACGCACTTCCTTTCCGTGGCGTAACGTTAAGTTATTTAGAGAACGATTAACGTTATTCGCTGCGTTAACACGTCTAAAATATTACAAATAAGAGACAGATTAAGCTTTATGGTACCCTGTCGCGTATTTGTATAATCTGGTTAAGATGGTGACAGCAGTAAATTAACTGATAGATGTCCGCGTAGCATATTGCTAAAAAGATTAACTTACCACGATAGGAAATGTTTCGACAGCAGGCGACCTGCTTGTAAGAAGGAACATTAACAGACCACTTACCAACAGATTTGCACTTTTATTATCGCCCTCAGCCATGGTTTATTTTGGGGAATTTCAGAATTTGTATTCCTCGGAGAGAACGATTATATATGAACCCGCTTCCCCTCTACTGCCGCAGTCTGTCAACCGACCGTTATTTTCAGGATGTTTTTATCTGAAACTCGGAATACAAGGAGTCATGGGAAATGTAGTTCACAAAAAAACAAAACAAAATGGCAAGGGTACAAAATAGAACTTTAGCTTAAAAACAAATTATCAACGAAGGGTGCTTTAAATTATGTGCTGATCGTCAATTCATTGTAGTAAAACAATCGGTAACTGTAAAATGTAGCCACTTAGTAAAAATTAAATAGTGTGAGACAAATGTTAATTTTTAATTACTGATAAAATTACATTTTCCACGAACTGTAGTTATGGGGGAATGGGGGAAATCATACATCAACTGGGGTTGGACTCAAAAAAATAAGACATATCTAAATATTAGTTTTGGTAAATAAGTACAACCTTCACTACAATTGAATATCAATGCCATTAATGCTACTGTTTGGGGTCAGTTTACAGTTTTTAAAGTCCCCATGAATTCAAAATTGACCATACTTACTTTGTTTGCCTAAATTGATCGTTTTGTGGTGAACAATTCATCCATGCAAGTCAATCCACACAAAAATTTTTTTTGGCTTCGTAATCTTTAATCAAAATCTGAAATTTCCCCTCCCCTCTGCGTTGGAGGACCTTGCCTGATGACGTAGGTTTCACGGTTTGGGCGTCTTCTTAACATCCATAATCACGCCCCTCCAACTGACAGTAGACAGGCTGAATGAAAACACCTACTTTTCTAGATCCAATCAGGTGCTAGTTGGGAAAAAAGCCACGCCCACCATTTTGCCTCATTTAGTATTCCGTTTCTCTCGGAAATACGTCACAACACTGGAGAAAAGTCGTTTGCAACTTCCGGTTCACGGGGACTTTAAGTCTCTTATGCTAACCAAGGCTTCATTTACTTGATTAAAAATACAGTACAAAATGTATTACAGTACAATTAAAAAAAACCCTCCCTCTGATTTATTTATTATATATATATATATATATATATATATATATATATATATATATACACACTCTCACCTAAAGGATTATTAGGAACACCATTCTAATAGTGTTTGACCCCCTTTCGCCTTCAGAACTGCCTTAATTCTACGTGGCATTGTTTCAACAAGGTGCTGAAATCATTCTTTAGAAATGTTGGCCCATATTGATAGGATAGCATCTTGCAGTTGATGGAGATTTGTGGGATGCACATCCAGGGCACGAAGCTCCCGTTCCACCACATCCCAAAGATGCTCTATTGGGTTGAGATCTGGTGACTGTGGGGGCCATTTTAGTACAGTGAACTCATTGTCATGTTCAAGAAACCAATTTGAAATGATTCGAGCTTTGTGACATGGTACATTATCCTGCTGGAAGTAGCCATCAGAGGATGGGTACATGGTGGCCATAAAGGGATGGACATGGTCAGAAACAATGCTCAGGTAGGCCGTGGCATTTAAACGATGCCCAATTGGCACTAAGGGGCCTAAAGTGTGCCAGGAAAACATCCCCCACACCATTACACCACCACCACCAGCCTGCACAGTGGTAACAAGGCATGATGGTTCCATGTTCTCATTCTGTTTACGCCAAATTCTGACTCTACCATCTGAATGTCTCAACAGAAATCGAGACTCATCAGACAAGGCAACATTTTTCCAGTCTTCAACTGTCCAATTTTGGTGAGCTCTTGCAAATTGTAGCCTCTTTTTCCTATTTGTAGTGGAGATGAGAGGTACCCGGTGGGGTCTTCTGCTGTTGTAGCCCATCCGCCTCAAGGTTGTGCGTGTTGTGGGTTCACAAATGCTTTGCTGCATACCTCGGTTGTAACGAGTGGTTATTTCAGTCAAAGTTGCTCTTCTATCAGCTTGAATCAGTCGGCCCATTCTCCTCTGACCTCTAGCATCAACAATGCATTTTCGCCCACAGGACTGCCGCATACTGGATGTTTTTCCCTTTTCACACCATTCTTTGTAAACCCTAGAAATGGTTGTGAGTGAGAATCCCAGTAACTGAGCAGATTGTGAAATACCCATCTGGCACCAACAAACATGCCACGCTCAAAATTGCTTAAATCACCTTTCTTTCCCATTCTGACATTCAGTTTGGAGTTCAGGAGATTGTCTTGACCAGGACCACACCCCTAAATGCATTGAAGCAACTGCCATGTGATTGGTTGATTAGATAATTGCATTGAGAAATTGAACAGGTGTTCCTAATAATCCTTTAGGTGAGTGTATATATACACATATACACACACACATATATATATATATATATATATAATAAACAAATATCCACTGTCATTTTATCAGTTTAATTTATTTGCTGTATTAAAATTCTCTTTAAAAAAAAAGCAGACAAAAAACATTGATCCAAAACATTTGAACAGTAATGTAACTAGACACAAAATATGTAATGCTCAAAAACATTCAACATTAGGTTAACCCCAGGCTAAGGTTACTATTAACCCGGGGTTGAGCAACACACCGCCACTTGTAATTATGAAAGGGTAATAAAGCATTGTTCTTGAACAGGGTGAAATTGCAGTATGAATGGTAAACGTCTAAACTGTGTAGAACAGGTTCGTTCAAGTAAAAAATGCACCTGGGTAAACAATTCCAAGTATGAAAATGCCAAAAGCCTAAAAATCAGACAAACAACCAAATACAGCAAACACTCTAATGAACACCAAAGAGGTTTAATAATAATTTTATTTGACCAACAAAATGGAGTAAAACCACTGAGACAACAATTGTAACCATCACCACATCACTATTCCATTACTTATTTCTCCCACTAAAAATGTAAAACTAGGTCAAGTTCAGTAAAACGCAAGCTTTAACGGGGAACATGTATCAGCGATGATACACTTCCACAGGCAAGTCAAAAAAAAAGGAGCAATCAAGACTAACTAAATTTATAGTAAAGAAGGACAGGGAGAAAAATCTACAATACACAAACAAGATCAGAGATGCATACTAAGAAAAAAGCATTTAGAAACTGATTTGCACATCTGAGCCTGGGTCATATTCAAAGATCAAATCAAATAGAGACCTCAGACTGAGCACTTACCAACTCCAAGCATATCATTCATTGTGCCAAACATTGAGAAACTCATGACAGTGAATGTTCCCAAAGCCACTTTGCGATTCGCCTTTTAATTGTGAAATCTGTGCAATACATTAGAGGTGTAAAATAAGTTTTTGCAATGTTTCCTAAATATGCTTGAGGGGAAAAGGTCTTTTTGTGGTTAAGAACAAACTCTAAGGTCTGTCAAAGGCCTTCTGGCTTTGAACGGAGTCCCTTGAGCCTTCCGGTTACACAGCCCTCCACACCCGCTCTAGCAGGAGACAGCTCAGCTGTAAGTCGTGCATGACCCCGAGCCATCCAAATACAGAGGCCAGAGGATCTCTCGAAGACCGGATCACCCTTTCCTTCCACTCTCGCACAAATGTAGTCTAGAAACTCGCTAATTATCGCAGACCTCTGCTCTAAGAGTGGATAAACTGTCTCCTGCAAATCTTCCCTGTGGCAAATCCTATTTGTTTTGATAGTTGACATACGTTTATTTGTTGTTGTTGATACAGGGGTTGGTTGGGGGGGTAGTTCAAGCCATGTGCCTTATCCCCCCCACCCCGCCTCCCCATCTTGGTGAGCTCCCACACATCCCAGGGAGACAGATGCAGACCCATTTCGTTGTGTTAGCTGGATCGCCGGATGTAGCTGTGCTACGGGGATCCGGTGTGGGCCTGAGGGAGGGTTTCTACACCCCACCTCCTTTTCCTGCATGGTGCTCTGTGGCTCCATTGCCCCAGACCCAGTGGATTTTGGTGGATTTCTACCCTCGCTGGACCAAAGTGATCTACAAGGATCCCGTTCACACCCATGCCGTCCATCCCTCGTACAACTGTGCAAGGTTGTCCACGTTCGTCGCCTCTTTGATGACATAATCCACCTGAGAGTGAGTGAGAGAGAGATATGCATTAAGAAACATGCACAACAGTAGCAGTAAGGTCGTAGGTGTAAAGGAGGAATGCTCACCTGCTCAGTGACACTCATTCTCCTGTTAGGGTCTATATCTCTCCCTTCCAGTTTGGCTTTTACCCTCTTCCACACACTAACAGCGTAGGAATTCCTCTCTTGCACAGCTGTAGGAAAAATGGCTGATCAGTGATCTTGGCAAAGCTTCAAGTTGATATAAAGCATTTCATAGCTACAAATACTTTAATAAAAAGGCACTATTTTCACATAGAAGATAATATACAAAAAATCCATTGTAATTTAAAACTTAAAAAAAAAGTTGAAACTGGCTGAACATATGAGCATACTTGAGTATTAAAAAAAAGCACTTCAATGATGATTGTCTATTGTAGTTCAAACACACAGATCTAAGGTTCCTACACTACACTTCTAAAGTTTGGGGTCAGTAAGACTTTGACTTTAAAAGAAAATTATATTTTTATTCAGGAAGGACTGATTAAATTAATCAGAAGGGACAGTAATGACATTTTTAATGTTACAAAACATTTCTATTTCATATAAATGGAGTTCTTTTTAAGGAACACAAAGTACTTGGGCAGAGTGCTTCGCCTTCTGAGAATATAGTTATCAGTATGTATACGGTTAGAAGATGGCGGTGTCTCATTTGTACACACTGTGACTATACAAATCACAACATGTAAATTGGAAAATGTTGGCGTTATTTTGTCACTTATTGGGAAAAGTAGGCTAGATGAAGCCATTTACCTCCAGTATTTGTGCTAAGCTAGGCTAGCGGTGGGTGCGTCAGACAGAGTTACGGCACGCACGGAGATGAGGTATGTATGGACTTAACTAACTTTGGGGGATACGGTGAATAAGCTAAAGTCCCCAAAAGTCGGCGTGTTCCTTTAAACTTCCTATTCATCAAATAATCCTGATAAAATGTATCACAATTTCCGCAAAAATATTAAGTAGCACAACCAGTGTTTCCCCTAGAAATTTTTCCAGCAGCGGTGCGGTTACGTGCCGGAGAATGTTACCAAGTCGCGCGCGGCTGGGGTCCGGGGGCATGCACCTCCGGA